GCTGGTAACTCATGCTCAGCAGCATACACGCCAATAGCACGTCTCTGCTCCAACAGCGACTGCAGCATGTAGACTGTGCTGTTCCACCTCGTTGAAACGTCTTGCTGTAATCGTTTCCTGGGTTGACCTAACTGTGTCTGTATGTCATAAAGTCGGGAATAGGCAAGTGATGAATGCTTAAAATGTCCAACAATTCTCCTTCCTGTTGCCACCATGTCTGTGATGCTGCGCTGCGCCAGCTGTCCCTCATTTACAACCAGTTGCAGTGTGTGTGCCAGGCAGGGTAAACTTTTCAGGTTGATATCATCCAGCGCTTTGGCCCTATTACGAGCATTATCCCGTAAAACAACGTGAACTCTTCCATTATCGATTTCCCAGTGATTCAGCATCGCCTTAAACTCTGCTGATAAATTGGCCGCAGTGTGAGACCCCACCATATCTTTACAGTTTAAGAGTACTTGATGACGTTCGAACTGTTCGTCAATCCACTGTGCAGTAAAACTTAACATGGACATTAAACTTACATCAGAAGTCCAGATGTCTGTTGTAAAGCTGAGTGTATTTATATTAGCTTTTAGCAGGCTGCGGGTGTCTCTCGAAACTTGGCTGAACAACTCCGGTAATGCAACATCAGAAAAATATTTCCGACTCGGCATATTATATCGTGGGCACACGTGCTGCATCAAGCTTCTAAAACCTTTGTCCTCAACGACTGAAAATGGCTGGATGTCTAATGCCATGAACTCCATCACTTTCCTCGTGGTAGCTTTGCTCTTTTCGTTGCTCATAAAAGCAAACAACGGCCCACCGACTGCCTCTTTGTTAGCGCTAGCTTTAGCATTAGCCTTAGCTTGGTTGCTCTCTTCAAACATTGCATACTTGGCGGCGTGGTGATTTCTTAAATGGCGAACGAGGTTTATTGTATTAAAGGTTTTGGTGGTGGCTCCACCATGACTTACTTCGGCTTTACACGAATTGCAAATTGCGATCTTTGGCTCATTTTCTTTTACAGTGTAGAACTTCCAAACCGACGACATGGCTGCTCCGAGTGACCTGTGTGTGAGCTCTCACAGCAGAGCAAAAGAGGACAGCAGCTGATTTTCAGACCTTTGCGGAGGCAGATACGATTGGTGGATAAAATCGGCTTCTTATTTAAAGATCGGCCGATCTCCCCAAATTAAGGAAATCAGGGCCGATCAATCGGCCGGCCGATTTATCGGTGCACCCCTAGTTTGCAGGCCAGTGTGAAGACCAGTTTAAATGGCATCTCTTTAGCTGAAGAAGGCAGTTTAATGACATCCTAATACTGAATCAACATCCTTTAACTTTATGGACCTCCCATGAACTCAGGAAATGCTTTTAATGATCGTGGTTCTAACGTGATATTTGAGCAAGCTTGAAATGAGCTTCTTTGAAAAGCTTTTGAACAACCAATGTCTTACCTAAGTTCTTTGATCAATTTCAGTTTAGCAAAATCAGATTTATTTTGGTTGGTTTGATGAGCCAACAGCTAATCTGAATAATGCCAAGATCAAAGAGGATTTCTGACACTAAAACAACTCTGGTCCCCAAATATTACAACATTATACTCAAACTTTTTCACACATGTTTACACTGCCATTAATTTTATATTCAACCCTTATTTACTTAAAACTCTGTGGGTATTTATGAGCACAAAAGCATCAGTGTGCTGTAGCACTTCCTGCAGGATTCTCTGCTGCATTTAACATGTAATGCAAAATGAATGGCAGTGTGAACGTTCAGATAACTGCACTAAAATCACTTGAGCCACTATAAACATCTGTGGATGACCTAATGACAGCTTGTCCAACAGACTTCCATAGCAGATGTAACTTTCTTAAAACACCAACATATTTTTGCAATTGTTGCATATGCTAATATTTAAACCTTCCTATTAATTTACCATTAAATTCAAAATTACATGTTTATTTTAGCAGAACATTTATGATATTTCTGTTAAAAGGGCTCTCATGCTGATCGGGGCTTTGAGATAACCACATAATTTTATGCAGCAAATAAGTAAGGTATTATCAACAGTGGTGTAAATGTCTATGCAGAAAAGTTGTTTTAATGCTGTAATAATCCACGCTGGACTTGGCAGTAGTTGGACTAGCTAGCCATTAGCTCATCAGTCATGTCAGATTTTAACTTTCTTTCTTCCAGCTGAGTTGTTCAAAAGCTATCCTCAGCAGGTAAGATATTCATTGTTTATAACCTTTCCACAGTACTCAACTTCAAAATGGCGGAAATACCCCTCTAAACTTGTTTCTGAATCCATCACTCAGGACAGGACGTGTACTAGAAGATGGATGTGTGTGGTCAGCAGGCCATGCTCGTTTGACTGGGCTGCTGATTTGCACAGGCTGCAGACAGTCAGGATAAGAACATATGGGGCTACTAATTATCACATGCCCTTGAGAATGCGTGCCAGAATGGGTTGGGCATGAGGTTTGAACCACCAGGACAAGCTGTCCAAACCTACCCTCTCCCCTGACCTTATCCCCACAAACACATCACTGGGAGCAAGCAAGATTTACAGTTTGTCTTTACATTAGACCAGTGGTCGAGGTGGGCTGGATAATAAACAAGGAGTAAAATAAAGGTTGTTCTTTTTATGTATGCAACCTTAAAGGTTCATCAGGCACATTAAGGATGTTAAGCTAAATTCTTGTGCAAACCTTTACAATCATTAAACAGAAATATGTACCATATTTTACGCCCTATAAGTCATGTTTTTTTTTTCATAATTTACATGCCCTGCGACTTATAGGCTGAAGCGACGTATTTATGTTTTTTTTCTCATATTTATAAACCAATTTTTGGCTGAGATATGACTGTTTTCATTAATTCTGACTGAAAATATTGAACACTACCATTTTCAGCCGCTAGATGGCACTCGAGTGGTATGGTATGCTGTTGTGTCATGTAATAGGTAAAAGTGGCTATTACTAACACAATCAGCTTGCCATAGTCTGCCACCTTTGTCCAGCTCGCCTGGAGCAACCATCAAATCAACTTCATTTCACTGCACCACCCCAGTGAAATGCAGCTAATTTGACCATCAAAATGCATTTATTAAGGAAAAGTTCAACTGAGAAACATCTTTGCTATAGTTTTGAGCAAACAAATAATTGTTTTTAGGTGGTTATCTTGTTAAATTTCAAAGAAATGCACAGCGAGTTGCCCTCTGCGTGTTCCCATTTCCGCATATTGTCTTTTGAAAATGCAACTGATTTGACCGTCAAAGTGCATTTATTAAGGAAAAGTTAGACTGAGACACACCTTTGCTATAATTTCAAGCAAACAAATAATTGTTTTTCAGTGTTAATCTTGTTAAATTCTTGTTAAAGTCCTCCCGTGCACGCTCCCGCCAGTTGGCAGCCAATTGTTTTTTGGCACAACACCGGCCCACATGTCTGGGTTGTCAGCGGTGACACATAACAGATGTAACGTATACGGCGAAGTGACGTATTTATGGATTTTTCCATTTTGTTAGACATATTTGGACAGATGCGACTTATAGGGCGGTCTGACATGTACGGTGGAAAATACGGTACTCACTGACAGCTAGATATAATTGCCTCAAAAGAAAACATTAATCTAAAACCTGAGGCCAACAGAAAGCTACCAGTGAAATAAAAACAACAAGAAGTTATCTTGAATTTGCTTTCTGATTTGTTCTGAGACTCAGCGAGCACTTAGCGTTATATTTTTCGGAAAGGTTCCAAAACAATGGCCAGACCGGCTGAACAAGTGAACCCGGATGAAGCAACATTTAGCTTCAAAACATAATTTCATACTGAAGTCTGGATAACATAGACTCAAATCAAAATGGCCCCATCCCCCATCCTGAGGAGCACAAAGGCGACAGTGGGAAGGAACAACTCCTTTTAACAGGAAGAGACTTTAACCAGGCTCAGACTCAAGATGAGCGGCCGTCTGCCTTGACTGGTTGAGAGGACAGGAAAGAGACAAGCATCATGGCGGTGGTCCAGGTGTAATTTCTATGAAAAAAAAAAGGAAAAACAGTTTAATGACAGCAACAAGTGGAACTTTGGGAAACTCTAGGAACCACAAGTAAACCTGAATGAAGTGCTCTGTTAGGAAAACATTGAATAATAAGATCTCTAATATAAGATGGAGCTAGGTTGTTGAGAGCTTTGTATGTTAGAAGTAAGATTTTGAATTCTGTTCTGAATTTGACAGGGGGCCATTAAAGAGAAGCTAAAACTGTTTTTTACTGTGGTTTCTGGTTTTCCTCCCACTTTGTATCTTTTTTAACAGCTGGGATCAAATCATGTTGTCTTTTTTTATTTTACTTTTTTTTTTAGAAATTTATTTTGGATGTGTGCCTCCGATGTGTGTCCCATCGGTAAATGAATGTGATAAAGCATGATTAGCCTCTTTAGAATGATTTGTTCAGCTTTGTAGAGATCTAGTAGAGTGCTGTGCGAATGGGTAAATGAGGACACAGATTGTTGTGTAAAGCACTTTGAGTATCTCGATAAGATAGAAAGGTGCTATATAAGTACAGTCCATTTACCATTTACCATTCTTCATGCTGCATTAAAGTTGTTTTGAGAACCCACATCAGAACAGTAGTCACACTAAAAAATGTTCATGCAGAATATCTTTTCTGTATTGATGTTTGACTGTCTTTGGTTGGGAGACAAACATTAGCTTATCATGATAAAGCATCCATGCTGTGTATATGACCAACAAAAAAAAAGTATTGGTCAACTGTGGTGTAGGAAGGACAGGTATCACGTGGTGTTTACCCATCTGAAAAGATGGAGGGGGAGGATAAAATGAACCTATAGTGAGGCTAACAGGCTAACAAGCTACACATGGGAACCATTAAGACAATCAGGGAGGAGCAGAGACTAATGAAGTGAAGGAGAACAAACAGAGTAACCTTCAGAATTAATCAGGAATCACTGAACATACTCAACTAAATTTTATTTTCTTTATTTTTTCAGGTCAGGTCATGTGCCAGGATGCCGTAACAGATGCACCAGTTTCACCACAGGCACCTGACATTGGAGGTAGGAAACTCAGTGAATGTGAAGTGAGGTTTAATATCTGTCACTTTCAGAGACGTTTTATGAACAATACCCACAGGCTTGATTGCTCCTTGTTAAGAGAGATTTCTGTGTCACAGCAAGTGATAGTTTTGTTCCTGCATCGTGTTCTCCAGATGGAGCTCCAGACTCTGATGTTACTCCTACAGCCTCTGCTGGTGAAGCTGAGGCCACTCAGACTTCTGCAGCTTCTACAGGAGAAAGCTCAGCCAACCCAACCACTCCAGATCATGATGATGCTCTCTCATCTGCTCCCAAAGTGGGCCATTCCCCTGTTCTTCAAAACATTGTGGTAAATGTCCCATCTTTATTAGTGCACTTAAAAATATAGTTTCCTCAAATAACTGGGGTGGCCAAAGATTAATTTATGGTGGATAAGGACACCATTGGCCAAACCTTGGCTCTGCCATTACACCTGGTGGTGGATAAAATTGCTGCCTCCCCTCACCGGGAACCGTCACTCACTTATGCCTCAGACAAGGAACAAATCTTCCTCTGTTCTTCTCCACAGTGTAACTCTTACTTGAATATCTTGCACCAAAACTTTTAGGTTTATTTACATTCTTTATTTAATTCCAGTCCAGAAAAACACTCATCTCAAACATTCACTATTCAAATCCCTAAGCGACGGAGACATCGACGCACCACTTGTTTTTCCTCTTAGTTGGAATGGATATATATATACATATATATATATACAAATACACATATATACGTATATATATGTGTATATATATATATATATA